AGATTTATTTACTCACGTGTACTTTTTTAGGATTTATCGTAAATTTGGTTTGAGTCGAATATTTAAGTATTATAGTAGTTGATGAAATATATTAAATATTATACTCAATTTGTAGCTCGTATTAAATAAAATAATTTGAAATAAGAAAAAATGATTTTGAACTATTATGTCTTAAGTTATTCTAATAGAAAAAAAGTGTTATTTCCAATATTTTATTAATATATAATATATATAAATTTTGTTTTTGAAAAAAGGGAATATGCATGGTTCATGGATTCAGTTACATGGGGAAATGAAACCGTATTTGAAATTTAATAATTTAAAATTCATTAAACTCATTAATCAAGGATAATGATATAGTAATTAACCCTTTAAACCTTATTAACATTAAAAATATTTCAATTCCTAGAGTTATGTGTCCTAGGTATTGAGTTGAGAAGTTTTTCCTTTACCCACACGGAAATTGTTGTTTCACACTTTTACTCACACTCATATTTTTGAAAAGGTCTATCATTTTATTTTACAAGTTGTATTTCAGAATTTCCTTGGTGTCAATTGAGGTAAGGATACATAGTGCCAAGTGGTAAATTCTTATTTCTTGATGTTATATAAATTTTGGCATGAAAAGATGAGGCCTTCGGGTCGATTTCTATGTTAAATCTTACTGGATGGACTATTAGGTCAAATATGTAAATATTATGGGATATACGAATTCTTAAGAAATTCATTGATCTATTGGATATTGTGACCAATTTGCTCTAAGTCTAAGAATATCGGTATGTTATGTCATTTTATATTTATATCATGTTAAATAAGAATATGCATGTATTTTTATTGAGTATTTTCAAAATACTCACTCTTACAACAACTTTATAGATTAGAACGGATCACTTGAACGCATGGAAGATTGACCAAGTGATGCTGATGAGATCGCCAAATAAAATTTCTAGAAATAATAATTTCAAACTTTTATTTGAAAAACATCTTTATGTTAAGATTTGTGCACATTATCTTAGCATTTTTTTTAGTGTTCGAGCATTTGACATTTTATGTTAAATTTTAAATTTATGGTTTGAAATCGTAGTATGTAAATTGTTGGTTTAACATTATCGATTTATC